AGCCGTGCCTCCTGTATCCTCCCCCCCATGTCAGCCATGCCTCCTGTATCATCCTCCCCCACAGCCATGCCTCCTGAATCCTCCCCCCATGTCAGCCATGCCCCCTGTATCCTGGATGGGTGACCCTGGGACCCAGGATAACAAACCCTCCACGCACAGCCTGCAGCTAGTTCCTGCACTTACTGAGTGTGAGCATGGCCACTGACTGCCTGAGGGACTGCAAGGTGAGTGTTCCTCACTGTGAATATACCCTCAATCCCCAGTCACCAGCCATTAGCTGCAGGGCCAGCACACACAGCTCAGCTCTTGGCCTGATTAAACCCAGGCAGGCCAGGGTGTGTATGTGCTGTGCTATGGCATATGTTGGTGCTTTATGTATGAATCCTTCTTGAAAGGAAAGGTTATGAATAACTGATCCAGGATTCCAGCTGTGATCCAAAGGCTCCTGCAGGGTTAATGGCCGAAGCTCAGGTCAAAAAAAGCAGAATATGTTTCACTAAAATCTTAACAGAAGTGAATGAAAATATAATTGGTATAATCTAAAATAGCCAAGTGAAACCATAGTATTCTCAGAATACACTATTTTGGTTTAAATTGAGTAGTTTGGGGAATTAAAATACTATAGAATACAATATATAATTTGTAGTGTATTAGCTCTATTTTGCCTATATTTTCCCGTGTAATATGTATCTCCACTTTTCCCAATGAGCTGCTGATCAAATACACACCATAAAGTTACAATATATCCAACGACGTAACTATAAGGTGCCAGTCCACCTATAATCTACCTCAAAGATTCACTTTCTGTACTCTTTGTTTCAGTATTGTGTACCTGTAAGATAAATAACACACAATAGTAAATATAATATAGTGTCAAGGAAACACTCACATATCACTGAGCTATAGAGTATAGCTCAAGTGGTAATAGCCTTTGGGGCTGTTAAGACAACCCTCCCCTTCTTCTGAAGTAGGTTTTCTTTATTCTGTCCTGTATATATTTTCACAGAGTAGACCAATATAGTGCAATATTGTAGTATATCTAGGATTACTTGATAAGTGAATACTTACAAACCAGGAGCCTGAGATAAGGCTCAAATAGAATCGCATATGTGGTTAAGGACCACACTCCTTTAAAATAGCAGGACAAGTAAAGTGCCGTAAGTGCAAATATAAAACAATTTGTTTATTGTAAATAAAAATCCAAATATAAAAGAATATATGCATTAAACACTTATCCGGCAAGGTCCAAAAAAAAAAAAAAGGTATGCTCACTGTCCCCAGGACACGTTTTGCCAGTAAATAATCGGCTTCCTCAGCTGGGTGAAAAATAAGTCTCTCTCCCATATACAGTATATTTTAGCGTAAATTTTGCACTTGCCCTGTAATTCTCAATTTTGTGAATACACGCCCAGCTATCCATATGATATATATTAAAACCGTGCATAAGATATTAAAATGAAAACGCAACCCCCTGACTATTTGTCATCCATGTCCCCCCACTGTATTTTTTTGTCCCCTGTTTTTACCATGAAAATGGTCTCTGTTTTTGCCACCGTATCTTCTTCCTATCTAGTACCATAGTCCGTAAAAAGGCTTTTATACAATCATCCCTCCCGTCCTACCCCTCTGTGACTTGAATTTAGCACAGGCTCACAAGTGACCCGAGGGACACAATGGGCAGGTAAGTATGCTGGAAAAAATACATTTGATAATTCTTGGACCTCTCCTTAAGTTCCGCCTTTTGTCAAGCATGGAAAAATACGTAAGGCAAAGAGGTCCCTACTTTACCTTATGTATTTAAAGAAACATAGAAGAGAAAAGAAGTATGACACGAGAGACAGGAAGAAAAGACTCAATTTGAGGAAAGGTAAGTACGCCATGACAGAGCCACTTTACCATATTCTTATTGTAGTGGTTATGGTGTAAGGTGCTGCAGTTACCTATAAATACAGGGAGTGCAGAATTATTAGGCAAGTTGTATTTTTGAGGATTAATTTTATTATTGAACAACAACCATGTTCTCAATGAACCCAAAAAACTCATTAATATCAAAGCTGAATATTTTTGGAAGTAGTTTTTAGTTTGTTTTTAGTTATAGCTATGTTAGGGGGATATCTGTGTGTGCAGGTGACTATTACTGTGCATAATTATTAGGCAACTTAACAAAAAACAAATATATACCCATTTCAATTATTTATTATTACCAGTGAAACCAATATAACATCTCAACATTCACAAATATACATTTCTGACATTCAAAAACAAAACAAAAACAAATCAGTGACCAATATAGCCACCTTTCTTTGCAAGGACACTCAAAAGCCTGCCATCCATGGATTCTGTCAGTGTTTTGATCTGTTCACCATCAACATTGCGTGCAGCAGCAACCACAGCCTCCCAGACACTGTTCAGAGAGGTGTACTGTTTTCCCTCCTTGTAAATCTCACATTTGATGATGGACCACAGGTTCTCAATGGGGTTCAGATCAGGTGAACAAGGAGGCCATGTCATTAGATTTTCTTCTTTTATACCCTTTCTTGCCAGCCACGCTGTGGAGTACTTGGACGCGTGTGATGGAGCATTTTCCTGCATGAAAATCATGTTTTTCTTGAAGGATGCAGACTTCTTCCTGTACCACTGCTTGAAGAAGGTGTCTTCCAGGAACTGGCAGTAGGACTGGGAGTTGAGCTTGACTCCATCCTCAACCCGAAAAGGCCCCACAAGCTCATCTTTGATGATACCAGCCCAAACCAGTACTCCACCTCCACCTTGCTGGCGTCTGAGTCGGACTGGAGCTCTCTGCCCTTTACCAATCCAGCCACGGGCCCATCCATCTGGCCCATCAAGACTCACTCTCATTTCATCAGTCCATAAAACCTTAGAAAAATCAGTCTTGAGATATTTCTTGGCCCAGTCTTGACGTTTCAGCTTGTGTGTCTTGTTCAGTGGTGGTTGTCTTTCAGCCTTTCTTACCTTGGCCATGTCTCTGAGTATTGCACACCTTGTGCTTTTGGGCACTCCAGTGATGTTGCAGCTCTGAAATATGGCCAAACTGGTGGCAAGTGGCATCGTGGCAGCTGCACGCTTGACTTTTCTCAGTTCATGGGCAGTTATTTTGCGCCTTGGTTTTTCCACACGCTTCTTGCGACCCTGTTGACTATTTTGAATGAAACGCTTGATTGTTCGATGATCACGCTTCAGAAGCTTTGCAATTTTAAGAGTGCTGCATCCCTCTGCAAGATATCTCACTATTTTTGACTTTTCTGAGCCTGTCAAGTCCTTCTTTTGACCCATTTTGCCAAAGGAAAGGAAGTTGCCTAATAATTATGCACACCTGATATAGGGTGTTGATGTCATTAGACCACACCCCTTCTCATTACAGAGATGCACATCACCTAATATGCTTAATTGGTAGTAGGCTTTCGAGCCTATACAGCTTGGAGTAAGACAACATGCATAAAGAGGATGATGTGGTCAAAATACTAATTTGCCTAATAATTCTGCACTCCCTGTACAGCTATGAGCATGTCCCTTTTTCAGTTAAAGCGTCTGAGAAGGAAGCTATACTTCATAGTGCAGTTAAAAATGGTGGTTTTGTTGTACGCTCTCAGTTCAGGAGGATCCGAAGAGAGGCTGTGCATTGTCCCATTCATTTAATTTTTTTTGAGAATCCTTTATATATTGACATTTTATAAAATCAAGACAATAAATATATATATATATATCAGTGGCGGATCCAGAGCCTGATCTCGGGAGGGGCACTTGTAGATTATTTAAAGAAATAATCCAGACACAATAACTACTACAGCTCAGTGTAGTGGTTATGGTGTCAATAGTGCCGGGACCCCCTCCTAGAGTAAGTAGTCAAACCGTTTAAGAACAGTTTGACAACTTACCTGAGGTCTGCTGGGAAATGGGGCGGTAGTAGGGCATAGGAGCAGTGGTGTGTGTGAGTGGTGCAATGTGTAAGGGGTGCAGTGTGTGTGTGTGTGAGGGGGGCAGTGTGTGAGCAGTGTGTGTGTGTGTGTGAAGGTTGTAGTGTGTGAGTAGGGGGGGCAGTGTATGTCAGGGATGCAGTGTATGTGTGGGACAGTATGTGTGTGTAACAGTTGCAGTGTGTGTGTGAGTGTGGGCAATGTGTGTGTATGGGGCGGCAGTGTATGGGGGCAGTGTGTGTGTGTATGAGGGCAGTATGTGTGTATGGGGGGGCAGTATGTGTGTATGGGGGGGCACCATGGGGGGCAGTATGTGTGTATGGGGGGGCAGCATGGGGGCAGTATGTGTGTATGGGGGGGCAGCATGGGGGGGGGGGCAGCATGGGGAGTGACTGTATGTGTGGAGGCAGTGTGTGTGTATGAGGGGCAGTATGTGTGCATGGGGTAGTATGTGTGTATGGGGGCAGTATGTGTATGGGGGG